GGGGGCAACACTGAGGGTTGCGATCCGTTGCCGGACACGGAAAAAGACAAAAAAAAAAGAGCGAGCAGGCCAGATGTTGCTATGTGCTTTGAACATGAAGAGCTGCAGAACAGCCTACTTAACTGACATTTCACGTGAAACAGCCTCTGCCAGGCTCTGGAGAAAACCTTTTGACTTCAAGTCACAGGATTCTTGGACTTGAAAGAAATTAAATCATAAAAGGACATCTTGAAATGTTTCCAAAACTGCTTGGGTTTGAGAGCAAGAAAGAAAACCAACAAATCTCAAATCTGTTGAAAACCATCCAGGAGAACTACAGAACAAAATCAACAGTATTTTCCTTTTCTTTCAACCAAATATACGCCTAGGTAGGGACTCTTTCTCTGATCTTCTGCTCTGCCTGAGAACTTGAGACTTGGAAAGATGAGGAAGAACTCTGTGAGTTGCCGTCTAACCATATTCTTTAGATGATATTCATTGCTTGGCCCCTAGACATGTTCAGGATTTCTGTGAAAGAAGGTGCCCTGATGTTCATAAAAAAGCAATGAAAACTTTGCCGCAGTTTTCAACTTCTAACATGAGTGAGCAAGAGAATAAATCACCTGATTTCAGTTGAAAATAAAATCCATGTTTGCTTATCTCTCAAGTTCAATCCAAAATTGAGTATTTATGCAGTAAAAAACAAGTACAGGTTTGACATTAAAAAGGTAAATTTCATTCTTTGAATTTCAAAAATAATGTTTCATTGGTTTCTTTTTGGTGGCTGGCTGGTACAGGGATTTGAACCCTTGACGTGGTGTTTTAACACCGTCCTCTAACCAACTGAACTAACTGGCCAGCCCCCAAATAATATGTTTTATATACATGTAAGCCTATGTAAAAGACGAAAGACCAACACATATGTATAATAATTTTGAAACTGCTAGGCCTGTATTTGAGCTTAATCATGTCACTCAGTAGGAAAATGTTTTTAAAAATCTTATACAAAATTATATCTGGACTACTTTTTAATTCATATTGCTTAAATGAATAAAATAGCATTCACTAAAATGATAAAATAGTGATCCCTATTCAACACTGTCAATAAATTTTCCAGTTATAAATAACAAGTTGTGTTATAAGACTGTGCTCTAACCAACTGAGTTAACTGGCCAGCCCCTTATAAACAACAGTTGTAAACTTATGTCCTCTATTTAAATAAAATCTACAAAGACTACCTTTAAAGAAATTAATTTCCATTTTGGCTTAAGCCAGTTATTTAACAGAAACATACTGTGTTTGCCTTATGAGATTTAAAAATTTTGAAAAGGCAAGAAAGAGACTAACACCAAGAAAGATAAGCTAAGCTTAACTACCTTTATTTTTTTGTTTTCAAGGAAAGTTGGCTAAAAAATCATTTTTAGTTTTAAATGGGAAAAAACTACTCTTGTTCATACCATATCCACATATCTCATACCTCATTAGCTTATTAACAGTGGTAGTGGTTAGCATACGCATTTGTCAAAACGCATAAAGCTGCAACACTACAGATGGTGAATTTTGTATATGTAAATGATACCTCAATAAACCTGACTTTAAAAAAAAGTCAAAACAAATTTACAATTAAGTAAGTTATATAAAAACAAAGGTAATAAAAAAAGTCATAACAATTCCTAGAACCACCCTGCCATGGTAAAGTAGATGCAGCCTAGACATCACTGAAATCTTGCATTCCCTTGCAGTCATGAGGAAAAGAAACTTCCTGCTCTACAATTAAAAGTCAAATGTCATCTTGGTATTTCTATGATATTTTCAACAAATATAATTTTACAAGTTATCTTTCAATGACAGTTAAAGGCCCTGAACAATATGATCTCAAACCAAATACAGCTGATTAAATTACACATACTATTTCTTTTAGGGAAAAAAATTTCAGGGTATAGAAAGGTTCAGTAAGCCTTCTGTATCTCTGAAATGAAATATAACGATGCTATATCAAAATACAAAAATCTATTGAGTTTGGGCTTAATTTTCCACAGCAAATGGATTTAATTTATGGTAGAAGTTTCTTTTCAACTCAGCAAGCTGAACCCTATAAAGACCTTACTCTGTCCCTTTCATGACTTATATGATCTGCCTGAAGGGTCTTCTTTACTACAGAAGTACAGCAAGTTAGCAAGCAACCAAATCAGACAGAGGTTTATGGAATTGGAAGCTACATCAATTACAGTATGTGGTTCAAAAACAGAATAAAAATTACTGAGTCAGTAAAATAAAAAAATAACTCACCTCACTATCTCAGCAATCTTAAAATTTGCTACAAATATGACAAAAGCAAGAAAAATATAGCTCTCTTCATAAAGCAAAGTAGACTGGAAATAATGCCCTTGTACCAAAGAAACATTATTAACAATAACAGCTACCATCTATAGAGCCTGTAATTTTTCCAGTAATCCTATGGTATAAGTATTGTTATCCCCTTTTAGAGGTAATGATGACGAGAACAACAGCCACCACTAATATTCAGCATATAAAAGGTAATCTTCACAGAAACCTTACAGACTAAGGCACTGTCATTATCCCATTTTATAAAGAAACAGAGGTTCAGGTTAGTTTAAGAAACACATGCAAATTTACACGACTAGTGATTGGCAGAGCCTATACTCAAAGCCCAGGTACCTGTTGGTCCAAGACTATATTGTTCCTACTCCATGTTTCCTCTCCAAGGAATATTAAAAAAACTGGAATATTACTTTAATTATTAAGATTATCTGGATGACATACAAACTGTATTTACTATACTGTAACGCTTCTTGAGTCTATTCTAAAAATGCATCACATAGGGCCAGCCCAGTGGCGCACTGCTACAGTGCGCCGCTTGGGAGCGCAGCGGCGCTCCCGCCAAGGGTTCGGATCCCACATACAGACCGGCGGCTCACTGGCTGAGCGAGCTGCGGGCGCAACACCGAGGGTTGCGACCCCGTTGCCGGTCCCGGTATGGGCGCAACACTGAGGGTTGCGATCCGTTGCCAGTCACGAAAAAAGACAAAAAGGAAAAAAAATTAAAAAATAAAAAAAATAAAATAAAAATGCATCACAATATTACAGCATATTGTTATACTTTTTAAAGAGAACTAGTTACCGGAAATAAAAATCATGCACCGTATAAGAAGAGAGCAGAGTAAAGCAGTAATTGGCAGTATCAAGAAATTTACCCCAGGGTGCTTGCCTAGGTTATTTACAAGGAGGGAAGATCTTCACTGAGATCTTCCATAAGTAAAAAAGTCTTGCCATACATTCTTTGCTTCCCTAAAACAAGATGGGGAAGAAAGGGCAATTGCTCAGTATCCATTCCCCCAGGTCAAGTTTTAACCACTACAATTAGATTAATTAAAGAAGTACTTATAATAGTATACAAAAAAGAGTTATCATAGGAAGACTGAGACTGCTATTCTTAAAAAAGACCTGCTTGCGGGCCGGCCCAGTGGCGCACTGCTACAGTGCACCGCTTGGGAGCGCGCTGGCGCTCCCGCCAAGGGTTCGGATCCCACATACAGACTGGCCACTCACTGGCTGAGCGAGGTGCGGGCGCAACACCGAGGGTTGCGATCCCGTTGCCGGTCCTGGTCCGGTATGGGCGCGACACTGAGGGTTGCGATCCGTTGCTGGTCACAAAAAAAAAGACAAAAAGGATAAGTTTTTAAAAAATAACTGTTTGCTATAGACCAATTGGTTTGAAAATGATGCAACTTTCGAAGAAATGAGATTTTCTAATTTTTTAGCCCTCGTATAATATATTGAAACCAGAATGAAATAGTTTTGTGTGAGGGAAATTCTGAGAAGACAGAGATGGTAAGTAAAAGGAAAGCCTA